TACTACTAGTACTACTACTACTACGACTGTTACTACTACTACTACTACTACTACTACTACTACTACTACTACTACAACTACTACTACTACTACTACGACTACTACTACTACTACTACTACTACTACTACTACTACTACTATTACTACTACTTCTACTACTTCTACTACTACTACTACTACTACTACTACTACTACTACTACTACTACGACGATTTCTACCACAACTACTAGTATGACGAAGGATACTGAGAATAGAACGAACAATAAAGCAGCAATAGTAGTAGTGATACGAATAATGGTAACAGTAGTACCGGTAATACAATTATTAACATCGATGTTCATGAAAATATATTCCTACCAGTCTTAGTCATGTTGCAAATAGGAACCCTCATCATCATCATCATCATCATCATCATCATCATCATCATCATCATCATCATCATCATCATCATCTGCATCAGCATCATCATCATCGCCATCATCTTCATCATCTTCATCATCATCAATATCATCATCATCGTCATCGTCATCATCATCAGCAGCAGCATCATCGTCGTCAGCATATCATTAACATCAGCCGCATCATCAGCATCATCAGCATCAACATCATCATCATCATCATCGTCATCATCATCCTCATCATCCTCATCATCAGAAACAGCAGCATCATCATAATCGTCAACAGCCTCATCATCATCGTCATCGTCCTTATTAGCAACATCATCATCATCATCATCATCATCACCACCACCATCATCATAATCATCATCATCATCATCATCATCATCATCATCATCATCATCATCATCATCATCATCATCATCATAATGATCATCACCACCACTGACACCACAACCATCACCACCAACACCACCACCACCACCATCATAATCATCGTCATCATCATCATCATCATCATCATCATCATCATCATCACCCCCATCGTCGTCGTACACCTCATCAGCCTCATCACGGCTCTCCCAGGCCTGGAGACACGAGGTGTCACACGTGACGACCTCCCGCGCGCCCCCCCGAACGGTAGCCGCCCAGCATGCTGTGCTGGCACGGTGGCCAGGACTTGCCGCGGGCAGCTGAGTATTATGGAAGACAGACACACAGAGATAGAGAGGGAGAAAAAGAGAGAGAGAGAGAGACAAAAAAAGAGAGAGAGAGAGAGAGAAAACAAAAAACAGTTTAACATGCATCTAAGAAGTGGCAGAGGGAAAATGGGAGGGAGGGAGAGAGGGTGGGAGGGAGAGGGAGATAGAGGGATATGGAGAGGGAGGGGGATAGAGAGAGAGAGAGAAAGAGAGGGAGAGGGAGGGGGAGAGGGGGAGAGGGAGAGGGGGAGGAAGTTGGGGGGGAAGAGCGGGGAGAGGGAAAGAGAGGAGGAGAGAGAGAGGGGGAGGGAGGGCAGGCGAGAGAGTCAGGCAGGCAGGGAGGGAGGCAGCGAGGGAGGGAGGAGGAGGGCGACAGGTGGATGCCGCCGAACAAATTTTGTTCCTCGCACCCTCCCGGCGCTCGACCGCGGGCGTGGCGCCCGTCAGAAGCCGTCGTCGAGCCTGGAGAACCCGGCGACGTGGTCCTCCCTGCCGAGGCTCGCGGCCGAGCCCCAGCCCAGCAGCTGCGAGGGCACGGGCACCTGCACAGGCGTTACTCCAGATTTCGTAATAAAAGGGAGGGGGTCTGGACCCTCCAAGACAAGCCATTTCAGACCTCCCCCGTGGGAGAACCCTCCAAAACATCGTCCCCAGACCCCCCAGGCCCTCCAAGATAGCCTGGAAGAGACCCCCCCCGAAATGAGACCCCCTTCCCTTTCTTACGAAATATGGAGTATGTTGTTCCCATCGCACTCAAGGACCACATCCCAGAACTAATTTCGAGCACCCGGGAGAGTGTCGAAAAAAAATCTGGAAGCAGTGTCGTAACGGTGTCGAGCAAGTGCCTCCCGGGGCCCGGCACGTGAAAATCCTCGAGTTTCGGTGCTTTTCTGGTGCTCGAAATTCTTTCTGGTGGTCCAGGCTAAAGTAGGTTGGATCATCATACCACAAGCGACGCGCGTACAATCATGCATTCTGCCACGGGGAGCGCCGGGAAGGCGACGAGAGGGGGGGCGGGGGCCTTGGCCTGGCCACGACGAATAGAGGCCTCCCAAATGGGGTCCGAGTGGATGGCGTCGAAGGATCGCGCCGCATCGCCAGTGCATCGCCGATGCCTCGGCGACGCCGGCGACGTCGGCGCGGGGAAGCACGGGCTCCACATCGAGCCGCATCGTCGATACATCGGCGATGCGGCGCGATCCTCCGACCCCATTTACTCCGACCCCATCAGGGAGGTCCAGACGCGAGCCTCGGCCACGAAGAGGTGCTCCGCCCCAGGTCCAAGAACGGCCCGAGAACCAAAGCACCACCCGAAGACGGATTTCGGCGGCGAGCGATGGGGGGAAAAAGAGCAGGAGGAGGCCTTCTCAGAAGGCGGCGGGGCTTCCCAGAAGCCCTCCGGCCTTCTGAGAAGACTCCTCCTCCTCCTCCTCCTCCTCCTCCTCCTCCTCCTCCTCCTCCTCCTCCTCCTTCTCTCCTCCTCCTCCTCCTCCTCCTCCCTCCTCCTCCTCCTCCTCCTCCTCCTCCTCCTCCTCCTCCTCCTCCTCCTCCTCCTCCTCCTCCTCCTCCTCCTCCCCGCAAGGGTGCCCACGCGAGGGGGCTGAGCGGGGCGGGGCCAGAGCGCCCGAGACAGCAAATACGCAAAAGTAGTCCGAAGCGGCTGGGAGAAGTATCGCAGCCGGCAGGCTCATTCACGAGACCGTGCACAAGACTGAGCGCTCCAGGGTCGAGGCGCGGATGGATCGAGATGTGAGTCGGATCGGGCCGCATCGGCACGGAGTCGAGATCGAATCGGATCGGCCGCGCCAAGATGCTCAGCTGCGCAGCGCAACCACTGAACATCTTTTAACCGAGCCCCATCCCCAGCGGCGTGGCCTGGGCCCTACTGGCCTACTGGCCGATTTGCCCCCCTAGATGGGGATATAGGTCGTTCTCTTCGGGTTTCGAGGGGTGTATCCCCAACTGGGGTGGTAATTTGGTGGGGATCTCGAAGGGGATGAGGATGGGAATGGGGGTCGATTAAACGATACTGAACCACCAGGCCGCGTCGGATCGTCGGCACGTCGAAATCGGGTCGGGTCGGGCCGGGCGAAATCGATGCCGAATCGGATCGATCGGGTCGGAATGGACCCTGCACGAGGGACGAACGCGTCCACATCCACGCCGTCACGGCCTGAGCGCTGGGGCGGGATCCCGTGAATGCAGGGTCCAATGGATACGCTGCGCGCGGGTCGGGGCTGACCGAGAGTGTTCCTGGTCCAAGGTGTCCCCAGCTTTTGTCGACATTTTAAACTCCTGAGGCTCCCTAAGCCTCGTGAGGGATGCTCTGGAGTCCATCTGGGCCTCCTGGGAAATCCGGAGGACGCCTCGAGCCAGGAACGCCTGTAGCGCCACCCGATCGGAGCATCCGCGCAAGGCCGCCCCGCGATGTAAGATGGCGATCAAGGAAAAACAAGGGGGAGCGTGATTACAATAAAAAGCTTTTCTGCCGCTGGGAGAAGTTCTCGGGAGGACGATTACAGGATCTCGATGACGACGACGCCCATGGGCAGGCCCCGCCATGCTAATCGTCGCTCAGGGCGCTGCTGCGCGAAGGCCCCCCCCCAGGCATGTCTCGATCGCCACCCTGCACGATGCCTGGGTCGCGGACGAGGAGTCTCGGCCGCGGGGCCGCGCATGTGGTGGGTGCGTCCCGAGCCCACGAGCACCTGCGTGAATTCGGAGCTGAAGCACTGGTAGGGCACGGCCGCCACGTCCACGGGCGGGAAGTTCGGGAAGACCAGCTGGGGCTCCTTGCGGTACACCTCCGGAGGAGCACAGACAGCAACGCCACGCGCGACTCCTTGGGCTGGCGCCAGACCCCCCCTCCCCCTTGGATGAGGGGGGATTTTAAGGAGGGGGCAGCGCAGGGGGGGGGAAACATAGAGCTGGAGTCGGCGATGCATCGCCGATGAATCAGCGAGAGGCCCCCGATGGCGAATCCGCGCGTTCCTGGGCAGGCTGGGGCTATCGAACCCCTCGGGGAAACCAGAAGGCACCGACATCGCCACTCACTTCCCGGACCTCTCCTGGGGTGCGTTCCGACCAGAATTCCGAGGCGAATCCAGCGGTGGTGACGACTGCCTCCCAGGAGGCCCAATAATGGGAAAACGTGGGAAGGCTAGCTGCACAGGCACCTTTCCTCCTCTGACCCCTAGCGGCGACAAACCAGGCAAAACAGCGTCGTGGTCGGTCCTTGGGGGCCGATGCATCCCCCCGTGAGCCCATCCCTCCTGACGTTGCCCCCTGGCTTTCGGGTCATGCATGTGGCCGTTCGGGACGGTCCAGGCAGCCCCACAACGCCGTCGGCGAAGCGCAGCCGCTGAAGGCATCCCGCGGCTGGGAAGCTGCCGAAACCCCACGAGAACGCCCGAGAACCTCGAAGGCCCCGACACATCTCTCCTGAGCCTATTCCTCCTCCAGGGAAGGGCCCTGCAGGGCGACACCGCATCGCCGGTGCACCGCCGATGCGACTGGTGGCGGGCTGGCGGCGCTGGGACGGGGGAAATCGCGCTCCAATCGGGCGACGAAAAGAAACGGATCTTACGCGAGCATACCGCGAGTGGAAGAGAATGAACGAAAACGAGTCATGATGTTGAAATCCGCCGTTCAAACAGAAGGAGCACCACCCAGGCAACGACGACCACAGGCCAGAAAAAATGCAACTGTGGTTCGCGCTTACTTTTTGCACATCCTCATCGGCAGCCCCCGATCGTACCCAGCTTGGAACTCGCAGCCTCGGAATGGCGCAATTCCAACATTATGATAGTTTTTCGCGCTAGCTTGCTCGATCCGCAGCAGCGGCCTTACGCGGTGGCTTACGCGAGCCACCAGCGCTGGCACGCCACATAGGAAACGATGGCGTTCGCGCGCCAATTTGCGAGGCAGCTTGCGCGCGGATATGTTTAGGCATGCGAACACGTTTTTTCTGAGTCGATCACTTGGTGGCGCGAGGGAGGTGGGTTTCCAAGAAGGCGTCGGGGCTGATTTTGGACGGCAGGGGGGCCCTTCAGAATCTTGGAAGCCCCCCCGGTTTTTTCTAGAAGCCTCCTTGAAAGCCTCCGGGGCCTTCTGGGGAGGCCCGTGCCTTCTAAGAAGCCCCGCCGCCGTCTTGGTAGCCTAACCCCCCTACGCAACCCCCCTGCGGTCGCCTCTGGTCCACATCGCGCCGCAGGAGGATCTCGTGCTGGAGAACATCGGACCGGAGGAAAGCGCCGCATCATCACCGACGCATCGCCGATGCATCGGCGACATCGGCGTGGGAAAATCGGGTTCCAAATCGCGCCGCATGGCCGGTGCATCGGCGAAGCGGCGCGATCCTCCTGCCCCCAGAACTCCAACGTCGCGACTCTTCTACAGCATGGGACCCCCGAGTCCCGACCCTTTCCCTGGGGCCAGTTTCTACCCCGGACAGTCCCACTTGCCTGTTGGGGTCCCTGGAGGCCGAAAACTTGTTCAACACATCCGCCACGCTGCCGCTGGCTACGGAGTGGGCGTGTCCTAAAATCCTCTGCCTCATCCTCTGGGCCTAAGCCCTCACTCCTGCGGAGTCTCTACGGGGCCCGGACCCCAAATTCTCAAATCTCCTGGGGACTGCCGCGTGCGCCCTGAGGTTTGTCACGTCTTGTGGCTTCACTTTCTTCGGAGCCCAGAGGGCCCCAAGACGGGCCAAGAGGGCTCCAAGAGGCCCCCAAAGAGGGTCCAAAAGGGTCCTGAGTCGCCAAACGATCGGCGCAAGATGCCAAGTCGGCCGAAGACGGCCCAAGAGGCCACCAAGACGCCCCAAGAGGAATACAAGAGCACTTCCAAGAGGGCCACAAGAGGCCACAATCACCAATGCTCCATAAGTGCTCGAAGGGTTTCGGTGTTCACGTTTTTCCTGCTTTCTGTCGCTCCAAGACGGCTCGAGAGGCCCCCAAGACCACCCGAAGACGGCCCAAGAGGCCTCCAAGAGGGCCCCAAGACGCCTGCGAGCGCCCCACGACGGCCTAAGAGGCGCCCAAGACGGTCCAAGAGGGCCCCAAGACGACCCCAGAAAGGGGCCCAAGAAAGGGAGCACGAACCGAAAATCCGAGCCTTCCGCCCCAAGAGGCCCCCAGGAGGCCCCAGGAGGCGCCCGGGAAGCCCCAAGAGGCCACCAAAAGGCCCCAAGGAGGCCCCAAGAGGCCCCTCTCTAACATTAATTTCTTGAGCTGCTCGCACAGCGGTGGCAGCGCGGACATGGCGCATTTGGGCGCCATGACGGGGACCGCACCTTCGACGGAGAGTCACCGGCGGTTGCCCGCGATCGCATATCCAGCGGTCTGAACCGGCATAAGGTGGCTACAGCTCGTGATGATGATGATGGTGATAATGATGATGCTGATGATGCTGGTGATGATGATGATGATGATGATGATGATGATGATGATGATGATGATGATGATGATGATGATGATGATGATGATGATGATAATGAGGATGAGGATGAGGATGAGGATGAGGATGAGGATGAGGATGAGGATGAGGATGAGATGAGGATGAGATGAGGATGAGGATGAGGATGAGGATGAGGATGAGGATGAGGATGAGGATGAGGATGAGGATGAGGATGAGGATGATGATGATGATGATGATGATGATGATGATGATGATGATGATGATGATGATGATGTCACGCCTGCTATGTCCTGGACGACCTGGGTCGCATAGCGGCCGCGCTGAGGGACCACCCCTTGCGCAACTCCTACGGTGTCGAGGACATGCTACGCGTACTATGCCCTTGGCGACCGTGACGGATAGCAGCCGCGCTGAGCTGCGCACCCCCTATGGTGTCGAGACTATGCCACGCCTGCTATGCCATGGACGACCGTGACGGATGGCGGCCGCGCTCAGAAACCACCCCCTGCGCACCCCCTATGGTGTCACGCTTGCTATGCCCTGGACGAAAAGCGCGCATAGCGGCCGAGCTGTATCTGGACGTGTTTATCATGTGGGTGCCCTGTATGTGGCGCATACGTCGTGGGTGTATGATGCATGGAACACGCCAGGCGTGCACTGGCGTTGTTAATTCGTGTGTGCGTGCCCAGGACTGCGTGTGTGCGTGCGGCTGTATGCAGACGCGTGTCTCATGGACGTGCCATGAATGTTTTGCGCGTGGTGCTCACTATGTGGCGCATACGTCATGGGTGCAACACGGACGAGTCGAACGCGTGCGGCCGAACGCGTCGATGCATGGATGATCGAACACGATCAGGAGGAGGGGAAGAGGGAGGTGAGGAGACGCGGGTGCGACGCGGCAGAGAATAAAACCAGAACCCCACGAAACGTGTGGGGAGATAACCTCCAGTCTTAACAAAAGACGGTCCAGTCGCGACGAGGACAGGCGGGGGCCCCTCAACTCTGGCCCCACCTGGCGGCCACACGCAAGAGTGGCCCTGGGCGAGAGAGCCCGTGGTGCGCGGCGCTGCGCGCCAGACGCCAGGCGCTACGATCGCACCGCTCTCGACGATCGGGGGGCGCCGGTGGGCTCGTTCCGCCCGGCCAAGGGCCACTCCTGCGCGCAGTCGAACCCAGGAGGCCAGCGGCCGGGGCCCACACCACACCCCCCCGCGCGCGGGGGGCGCGCTGGATGGGCGCCGGGGGCACGCCCCACGGGTGCGGGGGAGCGGGCTCCGGCGCTGGGGCCGAGGATGCGGCGGGTTCGTGCCGTGGCGACCTGCGCGCTGGTTTCCTCGGCGGCGAGGCGAGGGGGGGGAAGTGGGAAGGAGAAGGTCTTCCCCCAGAAGGCGAACGGACTTCCCAGAGGCCCTCGCGCCTTCAGAGAAGTGCTCTGTGCGAGGCGGGGAGTTATCCACATCCACCGCCTGGGGACCGACGTCCTGGTGCCCCAGCGGGCGATGGATATGGATACATTTCGGCCCCCGGGGGCCGAATACGTCCATATCCACCGGCTGCCGAGGCTCCGAAAACTGACCCTCCAGGCGGTGGATATGGATGAATTCCCGCCTCGGATTCTGTGTCTTCGGGGAGGGCTCGGGGAACTCCTCAGAAGGCCAGGGGACTTCCCAGCCTTCCGGGATGGCCCACCCCTCCTCGCTTCCCCCCCTGGGCTCGCCGCCGATTCCTGCCACCTCGTGGACGGTGCCACCCTGAGCGATCTGCGACTTTTCGATCGACTGATCGTTGAAGGGGCCCTGGGACACGCAAATCAATAGACACAAATAACAGGATTCCCCATATTTTCCTATATTTTCTGGGTTTTAGTCTTCTCCCCCACTTCCCATATTCTCCAACATTTTTCTAAGGAGTCGACGATCAATTGTGTCTGTGTTCTTCTCCTGAATGGCCCCATCCTGGGCCTCCGGCGGCGTTCAACCTTGAACGCCCGCGGCGGGGTCGTCGACGGGTTGGCACGACACGGACCTGCCGAACCACGCGGGCCTCCGGAAGCTTCCGCTCGGTGCCGTGCTTTGCCCTCCGAGCGCGTAGCTCGAAAAAGCCCACGCTGCCCGCGGACCCAAGGCGTCGCGAAGGGATCGCGACGGGCATCTCCGCCTCGCCTCCGACCTCCGGACCCTCACGGATCGATCGGGCTCGACAAAAAAAAAAACATCAAGGTGGGGCAGGGGAGCTCCGGACGCGATCCTTCACGACGCGCTGCGGCTTTTCCACGACGCCGGGTCTCAGAGTGCAGCCACCAGTCCGGCCCCCACCCCTCCCCACTCGCGCCCAGCCACCCAACCCTCGTCCCCCACTGGCGGAGCGGGGGGGGGACTGGCGCGAGCGCCACACGCGGGCAAAGGATGCGGCCCGTGACGGCGAGGGGCGATCCGACAGTGTTCGGCGAGGTTGGTCCGTGAGCCCGCCTGCGCTTTCTAAGGAGGAGTCTCTTTGCGCAGCCACTGCCCGCATCGATCGAGGAAAGCCGGACCAACGTCCAGCCCGTTCTTGGAATCACGCGGAGGAGAGAACGGCCCATGCTCTCCTACTTACAGTCCGTGGTGCCGCTTCTTCGATCCCCCATTTGCACTCGCACTTTGGGTGCCACAGGAGCCCCCGCGACCTTGTAAAAGTCCACGTCCTGGAACCAGGCGTGCTCCTTGATCTCCATGGCCTGCCGCTGCGAGCCCAGCCTGCGCGCGGGGTCGTCCTCCAGCAGCTGCTCCAGGAGGTCCGCGGCGGCCTCGGAGGCCCGCCTGGGCACCTCGAACGCCTCGCCCCGCGCCCTCCTCGCGCACATCTGGCGCACGTCCCCGGTGAAGTGCGGCAGCGACCCCGTGAGCAGCACGTACAGGAGGCAGCCGAGGCAGTAGAAGTCCAGGGCGCGGCCGTGGCCCTCGCGCCGGATCATCTCGGGCGAGAGCTCTGGCGGCGCGCGAAGGGGGGGGAAAGCGCGGGCGGGGGGGGGGGAGGGCGGCCCTCTCACGGGAACAAGCAATGACAAAAACATAAAACCTCGGAGGTCCGCGCGGATTCCTCGAATCGGCGCTGGGACCCCCTGGCGCGCTCAGCGCGCCATGGAGGGGGGTCCAGCGCCGATCCCAGAAACCTGCGCGGACCTCCAGGCTTTCATGTTCGTGTGATTGTTTGTTCCCCAATTCTCAGGGTGAGAGGGGGGCGCCTGATGGAAGGCAAGGGGGAGTCTCGGCAGCCCTCCCGGCTTCCGGGGAGCACTCTTGGAGGCCTCCTGGCCCCTCTCAGGGGGCCCCCTGGCACTTCCAAGAAGCCCCCCCCCCCGTCTTGTTCCGAAGGTCCACCTCCTCGGCGCCACCCCGGCCCCGCGCGCCGCCAGGAGGTAGAGCACGGTGCCCACGAAGGACTGGAACAGCGCCGACGTGGTCAGGTTCTCCTTGGACAGCCCGAAATCCGTGAGCCGGAGGTGGCCACCCCCGTCCAGCAGGCAATTCTCGGGCTTCAGGTCCCTGTACCCGCCCCCCCGTGCACTGGAGGCACGGCGCGGGGTGCCGCCCCCCCAGCATCGATCGACTGAAGGGGGCGGAGGAGGCGAACAGCTCTTGGACCGTCTTGGAGGCCATCTTGAGCGTCTTGGAGACCTCTTGGGCCGTCTTGGGGGCCTCTTGGGGCAGTGTCTGGGGGGCACTTGGGCCGTCTCGGGCCGTCGGAAGACAGAAAAAAAGCAGACGCCACAATCCTTCAAAAACCCATGGGAAATCAATGATGTTGGCCTTTTCGGGCCTTCCTGGAGGCCCTCTCGAATCAGCGAACAGCTGTCGACGCCCGGGAGGGCGGCCCCAGGGGCAGGCAAGCGGCGCACGTGAGCACGCTGGCCCGTCGAGGAGGAGCTGCGATACTGCTGCGGGGCTCCTCGCAAGAGAGGTCCACCCCTGTGCGGAGGACGAGCGCTGCCAGCTGCTCAGGCGGCAGGGGCTGTGAGCGCTCCAGCCGCCATGGTGGGGGCGCCCCCGGCAGCGGCAGATGCCATGTCTTGTGTTTTTGGAGAAGGATGGAGAAGGAGGAGGGGCAAGCAGGAGGGGACGACCGCAACAGCTCTCGAGTAACACGGGCACTCCGCGGCGATACGCGGCAGAGGCTGACCAGTGGCGTTATTTACAAGGCAACCCAGAGGTAAAAAAACACTGGCGTGAAGAGGAGGAGGGAGGAGCACAAACACCTGAGACCGCAGGGCATTGGGAACAAAATCGTGCATTGGCCCCGGGCACGTGGGAGATGACTCGCCGTCAGCTGCCTGCGCCGCCACTTGCGGACAAATCCTGCCCCCCACTGGTGGACAGCATGAGCAGAAGCACGTATCACGGACTCGGCGCGCGGGCGAGTTTCGCCACTGCCTAGGAGAACGCTCTCCCGACAAAACGTGGCTGGCTTCCCGCCGACGGGGGGAGTGCACAGAAGCGGAGGAGGAGGAGGAGGAGGAAACAAGGAGGAGAGACTGACCAGCACGTGACATGCAAACACTCCGCTGTGACTGGGCGACCACGGTCCGCCACGAATTATACCACGAGCAGCCACGGAACGAATTCCGACTCTAAGCGAAACACCTGGCCATGGGCGAGGAGCGCCAAGGCGAGTTCTGCAGTGAAAGAACGCGACAAACGGCAAGACACGGACGACGACAAGCGACGACGAAACGACCCGGCAGAAGGGAGGACAGAGAAGGAGAAGTCAACTAACCCACAAAGCAGCTACTAGATTTGCCAGACCAGCGTGTGACGCACAAGCCTCGCGCGCAGACTGCGCCAGGGCCTCCTGCGCGTCGGCAGTCTGCCCGTGACGCGCGGCAGTCCCTGCAGCGCACACCGCACATGCAGCAGGGGCAAGCGCCATGTCTGGTGCCGCTCTTCGCCCGCTGAGCTCGTGCACCTGCGCCGATCCCGGCCTGTCCCAGGGTCGGTGCGCGCGTGCCCACCTGGCCTGGTCTGCCCAGGCGGGCACTGTTTGTCAGCGGCGACCTGGGTCCAAGACGCGGTCGGGACAGCCGAGGGGCGCATCGGAGCCGAAATGGCCACAAGTGCAAAAGAAAAAGCATAAAAACAAACACAAAAAATCAAGCCTGGGCACGTGACGAGCATCACACCACGGGAAAGCTTGCACCGCCTCTGGGGGGGAGGCCACCATCGGGACACCACGGCGGGACACCCCTGGCCACCGCCACACAACGGGGGGGGGGGGGGGCTTTGTGGCCCAGCGGCGCCCTAGCCAGAGGAGGATTCACTCCTCTCGCCCGCCCACGCAGCTTCACGCAGCTTCGCCTCGCCCCCATGCACGACACGAACACGAAACCGAAACCGACCTCCCGGTGGGGGGCTCTTCGCTTCACTGCGATCTCGCCCCCTCACCTCCAATTGCCGCCATCACCCAGATCGGGATCAACTTCCCACGGTAGAGACACACCGCCGATATTGGTGTCGGTGTCAACCTCTGGGCCCCCGACATGACCTCTCGGAGAAAATACGAGCACGCAGCGTGACGGGTAGACACGTGAGGAGCCAATGCAGAAGAGGATGGAGGGAGAGGAAGTCCTGGCTGTGGATGCCAGCGAGATGCTGTTGTGGGAGGGGACATGGAAGGAGAGGGAGAGATGTTCAACGCAGATCCCAAGCACGTTGGCGGGGGCCGAAGGCCGCCGGATCCGCCGCCCCGAGTCAGCACGGGGTGCCGGGCGTGCCGAGCCAGCAGGAGTACACTCGCAGGCGTTTCAGCCCAGTCCACTGGCCCACCACCCCTCGTCGCCAAAACTGGTCAGAAGGCACCAGATGCCGCTAAGATGGCCCAAGAGGCGCCCAACGCGGAACCAGACGGATCCAAGACAACCCAAGAGCTCTAGACAGCGCCAAGATGGCCCGAGAAGAAGCCCAGACGATCTCACAAGGGCCACAGTCGCCCTCAGCAATTCTCAAAAGGAGCGCTAGAACGGCTAAAATCATTGAAAAGCACATGGACTTCCCCAGGCTCTCCAATACTTTCTGGCCTCAAAGTTCTTAGTCTCAAAGTGGCATCAACAGATCATGCAGCTCCACACGAAATCCAGAGTTTATGCTCCGCACCCCCTCTGGCCCCGAACGTGAATGTTCCGTAAGGCGCGCTGCGGGGTATGCGCTGGATCCAGCGAAAAACATGAGGCCAGCAGATCTTGCGTGAGCATTAAAATTGGCGATGTGAGGACGCCGAACGGCTTTGGAAATTTCACGGGTGCCCAGAAGGACCCCAAGAGAGCCCCCATGTAATGCCAAAGCGGCACAGGACGGCCACAACAGAGCCTCGAAAGAGCCCCTCGAAGGCCTTCAGAATGGTCTAGGACACGGCCCTAACACAGTCCAAGGGGGTCCGGAGACGGCCCCAAAAGAGGGTCCAAGACGACCCAGAGGGGCAGAAGACGGCCAACGAGATACAGATCCAGATCGCCCCAACAGACCTCTAAGACTGTCAAGGAGGGCCCCGAGAGAGCCCAGGATGCCCTGACACCCCAAGACGACTCGCTCTTCTACCACACCAAAGCGGGCGGCGGTGACTCGCTGGAGGCGTCTTCGATAGTATCCCCAGAGAATGGAGGTACTCCAGCCCGAGGAGGATCTCGCAGACATAGAACCGACAGTCTGGCTCTGAAAACCTCCCCCGTTTCTGCAGGTGGTGGAACAACTCGCCCCCTGGGCAGTAGTCCATGACCATGAAGAGGTGGCTCCTCGTCTGCAGGGCCCAGTGCATGGACACGACGAACGGGTGCGACAGGCGAGCGAGCAGCCGCTTCTCCTGCACCGCCCGCTCCAGCTTCCTCTCGCCGGCGACCAGCCTGCGCTTGCTCATCATCTTGACGGCGAAGGTGCGACCGTCCGCCCTGTGCTGGACCTGCACGACCCTGCAGGAGGCCCCCGTCCCCAGGACCCGCACGAGGCGGAAGTCCCCGACGCCCACCCTGCCCCGGTGGCCGCCCCGGGCGCCCGCGCGCGCCCGGCACGCCGGCACCTCGAAGACGCACTCCAGGGCATCGCCGTCGCCGAGCACCTCGCAGATCTCCTGGCCGTAGTCCAGCAGCAGGCCGCCGTCGGCGGCCAGCTCGTCCGCGGGCCGCAGGCCGCCGCCGTCGCGCACCACGCGGAGGCAGAAAGACGGCACGGGCATACACCCTGCGAAATGCTTAAGAAATCATGGGTTAAGAAATTCATAGTCTCAGAATTTGAATAGAAACCCCCAACTTCCTAGTAAAAAGTTAGGATGTCCATTGAAACAATAAGAATCATCTAGACTCTGGCCGAAAACTTAAGTTTTCTGAAGCATCGCCTAAGGTGTAGGCTTCCGGGGGTGCGCGCAGGGGCCCGGGGCAGCGGCTCCGACGGAGCCGCACGGAGCTCCGAGGGCTCATGCCGGTGCCGTGCTTCTGCCTCGAGGACGGCGGCCCCCTCGCAGCAGGCGGCGCCTCGGAGGCCCGGGTCTGGGCCGGCGGCGCCGAGGGCTCCGGCGCGCTCGCCGGCCCTCGCGACGCGCAGGCCGACGACGTGTGGCACGTCGGGCTCCCGGGAGCTCAGCTCCTCGAGGCCTCCCGGCTGGGGTCCGACGGGATGGGGTCGGAGGATCGCGCCGCATCGCCCATGCATCGCCGATGCATCGGCGATGCATCGGCGTGAAGAGAGACTCTGGCTCCGCATCGAGCCGCGTCGTCGATGTGTCGGCGATGCGGAGCGACCCTCCGACCCCACCTGCTCCGACCCCGCCCGGGAGGCCCAGTGGCCTCGACCACGCGGCTCACGACCCAGCCCACCGTGGCGCCGGGCCTGCTCTCCACCCACACCTGACTACCTACCAGACCACCCCAACCCAACCCGAAGACCCGAATTTGACGTGAATCTCGGGTTGGGGGAAGCACGGGGCCCATGCGTTTTTTCAACGTTCCCCGACCCCCCCCCTGGAAATGAAGGGCAAATTTTTGGCCTTCGGGTTGGGTTGGGGTGGCTTGGTGGGTGGTGAACACCTGCACGGTCCTGGCGGGGGGCCCTTCCGCGCACTCGCCGGCGGGGGTCTGGTGCACCTGCCCCTCGACCAGGATCATGCTGGACGCCCTGGGCCGGCTGCCGGCCAGCCGCGGTGCCATGGTGCCCGCCGCGGTGCCCACGTCGTTGCCCATGGCGCCCGCCGCGCCCAGGCCCAGGAGACCCAGCACGCCCGTGGCAGGGTGAGCCAAGGCTTTGACCAAAGCGGCTCAGCCAGGGGCTCCTCCGCAAGCAGTGCTTCCACTCAGGGGGGCGTACTTGTGTGGAGATCTGCCAGCGAATCCAAGACGATGTCGATTCGGAGTCCCCTCTGGGGCCGATTTTGCTGAAGATGGCTCGAGCGAAACGGCCATTGTTCAGAAACCTGACCGGACAAGAGCGGGAAGCATCGCTTCTGTCCACAAGGTGTGGCTAAATATGCTCTGTTGTGTTGGTCTGCCACGCAGGTTTGTCGTGGCGTGCATGCGTTTGCGCGTGCGCGTGCGTGCGTGGAGTATGTGCATTTGCATCCGTGCGAGGTGGTCTGCAGCACTGCTCTTTTATGCCGTGCTGTTCTACCGTGCTCCTGCGGTCTGCGTGAACGTCTGTTGCCTGTGCGTGTGTGTAAGCGTGTGTGTATGTGCGTGTGCCTGTGTGCGTGTGCCCGTGTGTGCGGCTGTGTGACGCTGTGTGCATGTGTGCGCGCGTGTGCAGGGTGTGTGCTGGGCGAGCGGAACGGGGCGGGGCGCGAGACATGGCCGTTCGAATCGTAGCGGCGTGGTCGTTTGAACCAGGCGTGGCGGGCGCTGAGACCAACCAGCTGACCTCAGGAGCATGGCAGACAACAGCAGACGACAGACCAGCACGGAAGGCCAGCACGGCAGACCAGCACGGCAAACCACAGGAGCATGGCAGACCACAGCAGCACGGCAGACCAGCACGGCAGAAGAGCGCTGGCATGGAGGCAGCCTGGACCTCGGCGGCACGCGCTGGTGGGGTCGCCCTCGGGGCGGTGGCCTTCTCCGACGCTGGCCACGCCCTCTCCTACGCCAGGTGTGGGGCTGATGACGAGGAGCAGGAGCTGGTGGCCTGCACCAACTGCGGCGCCTATGCGAGGCTGGGCGGCAGGGCGGGCGCGAGGCCCAAGCTCAAGGACCGCTGTCCTGGCTCGGCTGGCCTGCCCAAGGTCATGCGGAACCAGCGGTCCATGTGGGAACGGGGCCTGCATCCCGCTGGCAAGGCCCACAGCGGCAACAAGCGGGCCAAGGACTCGGAGGCCCCCCGCCTCCGCAAGGAGGCGGCCGTCCCCATCGACGCCAGGATCCGCTTCCTCGACTGGCTCGGAGTCCGCCCCCCCGACCTCGAGGACGGCGAGCCCGCTGAGCCTGGAGGCTCCGCTGGCTGCCCTGGCGCCGCCGCCGCCGCCCCCGCGGCGAGTGCGGCGCCCGCCGCAGGTGCGAGCGGGCACGCGGCCAGCTCGAGGCAGGCCTGGCTCGACGCGTACGGCCTGGATGAGGTGGCGCTGCGGAGCTGGGCTGATGCGGCCGAGGCTGGCCGAGATGAGAGGCGGCGGCGGAAGCGGCCCCGCGATGATGAGAGCGACTGAGCGGCCGCGGTGGGCCCCGCGAAGGGAGATCGCGCCGCGCGACGCGCGTGTGCCGCGGCCGCTCGCTCTGTCGTATAGCTGCGCTTCGCGCCGTTTTCGCCTCCCGACCCCTCGGGCTCCTGGGCCTCTAGGGGTGGCGCTGGGCCCGAAGCGGCCCGCGCCCCTTTTCTGCCTCCTGGGGCTCCGCCCTGCACGGGGACGGCCCTTGCAGGCCCTCTGGGTCGGCCCAGAAGTGGCCTCGGGCTTCGGCACCTCAGTGGTGCCCCCTCTAGCCTTTATAGGCCCCGCAGAACCAGAACCAGCACGGCGGAAGACCAGCACGGCAGACCAGCACGGCAGACCACAGGAGCATAGCAGACCACAACAGCACGGCAGACCAGCACGGCAGACCAGCACGGCAGACCAGCAAGGCAGGCCACAGGAGCAGAGTAACAGAGGACAGCAGCACGACAGACCAGCACGGCAGACCAGCACGGCAAACCAGCACGGCAGACCAGCACGGCACACCACACGAGCATAGCAGACCAGCAAGGCAGACCAGCACAGCGGACCAGCACGGCAGACCAGCACGGCAGACAAGCAAGGCAGACCAGCACGGCGGACCAGCACAGCAGACCAGCACGGCAGACAAGCAAGGCAGACCAGCACGGCGGACCAGCACAGCAGACCACAGGACCATAGCAGACCACAGAAGCACGGTAAACCAACACGGCAGACTAGCACGGCAGACCAGCACGGCAGACCAGCACAGCAATCCACAGGAACAGTACAGAACACAGCAGCAAGGCAGACCAGCACGGCAGACCAGCAAAACAGACCAGCACAGCAGACCAACACCGATTTTGTCAATTCGGCGCTGGACTTACCAGCACGGCAGACCGCAGAACCATAGCAGACCACAGAAGCACGGCAGACCAGCATGGCAGATCAGCACGGCAGACCAGCACGGCAGACCAGAAGAACATTGCAGAACACAGGAGCACGGCAGACCGGCACGGCAGACCAGCATGGCAGACCACAGGAGCATAGCAGACCACAGCAGCACGGCAGATCAGCACGGCACACCACAGGAGCATAGCAGACCATGGCAGCACGGCAGACCAGCACAGCAGACAAGCACGGCAGACCAGCACAGCAGACCAGCACGGCAGAACAACACGGCAGACCAGCACGGCAGACCAGCACGGCAGTCCGGCACGGCAGACCAACGCGGCAGACCAGCACGACAGACCAGCACGGCAGACCACAGGTACATGGCAGACCACAGCATGTTGTAGATGGTCATGATGACAAATATGAGGATGATGATGATGATGATGATGATGATGATGATGATGATGATGATGATGATGATGCTGATGCTGATGCTGATGATGTTGATGGTGATGGTGATGGTGATGGTGATGGTGATGGTGATGGTGATGGTGATGGTGATGGTGATGGTGATGGTGATGATGCTGCTGATGATTATGATGTTGATGATGAGGGTGATGGTGATGGTGATGATGATGATGACGATGATGATGATGGTGGTGATGATGATGATGGTGATGATGATGGTGATCATGATGATGATGACGACGACGATGGTGATGATGAAAATGAAAATGAAAATGGTGATGATGTTGATGATGATGATGATGCCGACGATGCTGAGGCTGACGATGATAATGATGTCGATGATTATCACGATGATGATGATGATGATGATGATGATCGTGGTCATGATCATGCGTATGATGATGATGCTGCTGCTGATGATGATGATGATTATGAAGATGATGATGAAGGACTTCTCGGGGTGTGCTTGGGCGATCTTGGAGTCCTCTGGGGAGCCTTGGACTTAGCAATTTAAATCTGCGCAGCGGTTGTAACCTGACTCTTTTTTTAATCGGCCTGACCGCTTTATCGGCATACCATAGCAGCACGGCACAGCGCAGCAACACGACAGACCGCAGCAGCACGGCAGACCAGGAAGGCAGACCACAGGAGCACGGCAGACCTGAACAGCAGACCAGAACTGCAGACCGCAGCAGCAGCACAGCAGACCAGCACAGCCGACCACAGGAGAACGGCAGACCAGCACAGTGTTATTGCAAAAGACGGTACTGGTACACTCTTAATCCCACCAGCCCTTTTGGGCGTAGGTGGTCTAGGGTGTTTTGTCATCCGTCTGCCCCTGTACCCCTTCGGAGAAGGATTCATAATTGTTCCCCATCAGAAAACACCCCCTCCCCCACCCGGCTCGCAGCCAACCCGAACCATGAGCACACCATGAGGGCCCCCCCCACCATCCCTTTCGAAAAACAATACAAAACGCACTCTGCCTCCAAATCCGGAGCATGCGCAGTCAACCCGATGCGGGCCCCCCCCCCACCATCCCCGTCAAAAAAACAATACACAGTACAGTTTGGGACAAAATTTGGAGTCATGTTCGTGAGGCCCGCGGGCACTTTGTATCGTTCTTCGAAAGGGGCGGCGGGGGTGTCAGCATATTGCGTGCTGCGCGCAGGGCAACCATCCCTGACAAACACACAATACAAAATGCACCTCGCGGC